TTTGGAACCTTTCAGGCGAACAGTCGCCGAGCCATTATAAATTCTGCCCCAGTTTTAACTTTGGGGGGAATGCGGATTTTTGTTTTGGTGTTACTGAACCACAGAGAGAGGCTGCCTACGTATCCTTTCGGAATCAAGTCGAACGTAGTTCAGGGAAACTTTATTTTTGATTTTCTTTTGTTTTTGTTGCTTTATTTTGTCTTTTTTTTGACAAACATTTTCGAGTTCCAAAGAGGGTGATCAAGGAAAGGTAACCGACTCAAAGGGTTAGTAAAGGGTTAAAAGTGTTTGGGTAGCGAGAATGAAAGCTTTCGTTATTCCAATCGGAGAATCTCTATATCCTAGAAGGGTTAAACGTAATACATTTTGACTGCGTTCGCATTGACAGCTGTTTCAGGGTCATTTCCTTCAATGTCTCCCAAGTACAATGCCCCATTTGGCAATAGTTTCCTTATGATGTACGGACCTTTCCAATTTGCAGCGAACTTTCCTTTTGCTTCCTTGTGATGCGGGATAATACGTCTCAAAACTAGTTGCCCCACTTCAAAGTTCCTAGGCCGCGCTTTCTTGTTGTAGGCGCGGGCCATTCTTTGTTGATACAACTGCCCGTGGCAAACTGTGGCCATCCGCTTTTCATCAATCAGGGTTAACTGTTCTAGACGGGTCTTGACCCACTCATTATCGTCAATCTCAGCTTCAACGATGATTCGAAGAGATGGAATTTCAACTTCTGCGGGTATTACGGCTTCAGTGCCATAAACCAATAAATAGGGTGTTGCTCCAACTGATGTGCGCACAGTTGTGCAATACCCCAACAATGCAAACGACAACTTTTCATGCCATTGTCTAGAACTTTGAATCATTTTCCTGAGGATCTTCTTGATGTTTTTGTTTGCTGCTTCAACAACACCATTAGCTTTGGGCCGATAAGGGGTAGAATTCCGATGCGTGATCTTAAATTGTTCGTATACCTCCCTCATCAAATGACTGTTCAAATTTGCAGCATTGTCCGTAATGATGGTTTTAGGGATACCAAAATGACAGATAATGTTGGAATGCACGAAGTCCACTACTGCTTTCTTAGTGACGGCTTTGAGAGTGACTGCTTCAACCCACTTTGTGAAGTAGTCAATGGCAACTAATATGAATCTGTGCCCATTTAAAGCTTTTAGCTCGATCGGCCCAATGACATCCATACCCCAAGCAACAAACGGCCACGGTGCTGACGTAGGATGTAATTCTGAAGGCGGTGCATGAATCAGGTCACCGTGTACCTGACACTGATGACACTTTCGGACAAAACTGAAGTAATCCTTTTCCATAGTCATCCAGTAATAACCTGCTCGAAGGATTTTCTTTGCAAGGACGTATCCATCATATGGGGTCCACACACTCTTGCGTGCACTTCATTCATGATTCTTCCGGCCTCTTGGGCATCCACACATCTTAAAAGGTTCAGATCTGGAGTCCTTTTATACAAGACTTCTCCGCTCAGAAAGAAACTACTGGCGAGCCTTCTAATGGTTCTCTTTTGGTCTCCACTGGCTTGTTCGGGATATTCCTTTGTTTTCAAGAATCTTTTGATATCATGATACCATGGCTGAACATCCGTATCCATCTCAATGGTATTGCAGTAACCATGTCTTTCTCGGATTTGGATTTCCAACGGGTCAATGTGGACATTGCCTGGATACGGCAGCATCAAGGCCAAAGTAGCTAGTGCATAAGCTAACTCATTATGAAATCGAGGAATGTACCTGAACTCGACGGATTTGAACCGCTTGCTAAGATCTTCCACATGTTGCCTGTATGGAATAAGCTTGATATCTCGGGTTTCCCGTTAACCTTGAGCTTGTCGGATAATCAAATCAGATCTCCCATGATTAACAATTCTTCCACATCCAGGTCAACTGCCATGTTCATGCCCATAATGCAGGCTTCATACTCGGCAGTGTTGTTCGTACATAAAAACCGAAGCCGAGCTGTGGCCGGATAGTGCTGACCAGTGGGCGAAATCAAGATTGCCCAAATCCCGACACCTCTTGCATTCACAGCTCCGTCGAAGAATATTTTCCAAACATTTGTGTCTTCTGGAATTACCTCTACTGAATTTACTTCCTCGTCCGGAAAGTAGGTACTCAAAGGCTGGTATTCATCATCAACATGATTCTCAGCTAGGTGATCCACCAAGGCTTGAGCTTTCATTGTCGTGCGGGTGACATAGACTATGTCAAACTCGGTGAGCAGGATTTGCAATTTTGCCAACCTCCCCATGGGCATCAGTTTTTGGAATATGTACTTCAAAGGATCCAACCTGGTTATGAGATAAGTGGTGTAGGCCAACAAGTAATGCCTAAGCTTCTAAGCGACCCAAGTTAGGGCGCAACAAGTTCTTTCCAACAAAGTGTACTTGGCTTCATAACTAGTGATCTTGCTCAAGTAATATATGGCTTGTTCTTTCATCCCGGTCACATCATGTTGCTCGAGAACACATCCAAAAGAGTTCTCCAACACCGTCAAGTACAAAAACAAAGGCCTTCCGGGCTCGGGTGGAACCAACACTGGCGGATTCGACAGATATTCTTTGATTTTGTCGAAAGCTTCCTGACACGCATCTGTCCATCTAATCACCACATCTTTCTTCAACAGCTTAAAGATGGGCTCACACATAGAAGTCAACTGAGCAATGAACCTGCTGATGTAATTCAACCTACCCAGCAGACTCATAACCTCTTTCTTGGTTCTCGGAGGGGGCAGATCCCGAATAGACTTTATTTTTGTTGGGTCTAACTCGATGCCTCTTCGACTGACTACAAAACCCAAAAGTTTCCCAGATGGTACTCCAAATTCACACTTAGCGGGATTCAACTTCAAGTCATACTTACGCAGTCGCTCAAAGAACTTTCTCAAATCTCGCACATGGTCGTCCTACGTCTTGGATTTAATGATCACATCATCCACATACACCTCAATTTCCTGGTGCATCATGTCGTGAAATATGGCAGTCATAGCCCTCATGTAAGTTGCCCCGGCATTCTTCAAACCAAATGGCATGACCTTGTAACAGTAAGTACCCCAGGGTGTGGTGAAAGCTGTCTTTTCTGCATCTTCTTCATCCATCAGAACCTGATGATACCCAACATAACAATCCACAAAAGACTGTATCTCATGTTTGGCACAGTTTTCAACAAGGATGTGGATGTTTGGTAATGAAAAGTTGTCCTTGGGGCTTGCTTTGTTCAAGTCCCGATAATCAACACACACTCGGGTTTTCCCATCTTTCTTTGGCACTGGGAAGTGGTGTATCGTACCACTTGGATCACACCCGCTTTAAACTTTTTGGTGACTTCTTCTTTGATCTTATCACTGATGTCGGTTTTAAACTTTCTCTATTTTTGTTGGACAGGGGGATAACCGGGGTAAGTTGGCAATTTGTGCACTTAGTCAACACTCAGTCCGGGCATATCATAATAGGATCAGGCAAACACGTCTTTGAATTCGAACAAAAGTTGGATCAATGCATCTCTAGTTCTTTCATCAGCGTGAATGCTTATCATGGTTTCCTGGACCTCTTCCAAACTACCCAAATTAACTGGCTCAGTTTCATTTAAGTTTGGCTTAGGCTTATTCTCAAATTGTTCCAGTTCTCGGTTTATTTCCTTAAAAGCCTTATCTTCATCATATTCTGGTTCTTGATTCATTATTTCACATTTAGACAGCGTGTTAGGATCTGGGCACGAAGTCCGCAAGCATGTCATGTTATTTAAGTCCGCATTATTAGAACTGAAAAGAGAGATAAGAAAAATAACGAAAAATCAGAAAGAATAAAGAAAGAGATTCATAGACGATGAAATATTGATTTCATTTAATTGAACTTTAAAGATAGGAGGGTTTACATTGGAATTTAAAAGACAATAAACTAAAAACATTCGAGTTACACCCTGAAATAACTCGAAATGTAGAAAAAATGGCAAGACTGAAACTACCAAGATTCCCTCCTGACTGGGAACGGAGTAGCCTTCCAATTTTGAAGCTTGGCATTCGGCCCCACATATTGCACCTCAGCGGTGCTCGAGCCTTCACCCGGCTGGACCATATGAGCCTCATATAACATCTGCCTCATCGCTCCACAAATGTCCTCGATTTCATCGGTCGTGAAGGCCTCATCTTCTTCCTCTATGTATCTAGGCTTGACAAATGTTTTGGAGAGATACGGGACCTGCTGAGGCAGGACCCACCCATTCTTTTTACGTTCATTAGCCCACGTTATGTCAGCTTCTGTGGCTTGAAAACCCACACCGAAGAATTTCTCACTGGCAGTCAGAGTGATGGGTTCCGTGATGCCTTGCAAAGATACCCCAAGCCCTTTCCCGGGCTTGTACCCGTGCTTGATCATTTCAGTGGCGACCATGATTGACGCGTTTGACTTGAGGACACGGGGTTCCTTCCTCACACTGATCCGCGACCACAATCTCAAAAGCTTGGTAGACTATGTGCTCGCTACCTTCCTTGGCCTCCAGACATGGAACTGATAGGTCCTTATAGATTGATTGCTCATCTTCTCCATGGACCACGATTTCTTGGTCTTCGTGTTCAAACTTAACCATCTGGTGAAGGGTAGAAGGTACGGCTCCTGCAGCATGGATCCAAGGCCTTCCTAGGAGAAAATTGTAGGAGGTGTCCATGTCTAAAACCTGAAATGTCACTTCAAAATCCACGGGGCCGATGGTTAGGATCAAATCAATCTCCCCTATCGTGTCCCTCTTGACGCCGTCAAAGGCACGTACACAAACATTGTTGGGTCTAATCCTTTCAGTCCCAATTTCCATTCTCTGTAAGGTCGAGAGGGGGCAAATGTCAACCCCAGATCCGCCATCCAACATAACTCTTTTCACGTAGTATCCTTCACATTTAACGGTCAAATGAAGAGCTTTGTTGTGGGCCGCTCCTTCTGGAGGCAAATCATTTCGGCTGAATGAGATCCGGTTGACTTCAAAAAATCATTCCGCCATTCTTTCCAGTTGCTCAACCGTGGTCTCGACCGGAACATATGCTTCATTAAGCGTCTTCAACAGCACTTTCTGATGCTCATTCGAACTTATCAATAGAGACAAAAGTGAGACCTGGGAGGGAGACTTCCGGAGTTGGTCAATTACATCGTACTCCGAGGTTTTCATCTTTCGGAAGAATTCCTCTGCCTCTTCAGCACTGACTGGCTTTTTAAGCGGAAAACGCTTCTGTTTGGTCTTGTTCAATTCTTCCAAATTGAGGTACTTCCCAGACGGGTTTGTTTCATTCACTTCCCCCATGATTTCTTTTCCTTTGTACGTCACCACTGCTTTGTTGTAGTTCCATGGGACGACCGTGGGGTCTTTCATGGGCTTCTGTGGCGCGCGGCTGATAACCACGGGCTCAGTCAGCCTGGGTGAGATTACCGGCCCCCGCGCCACATATGTCCCCTTTGGTACGTACATCTTAGGTCCCTTGTTTAGCTCGAACCTTTTGGGGGGACTCAACACGAACTGTTCTTTTCTGGGGGCCTTGGGAACATAAAGAACGACATCTTTAGGAGGTACTGCCCCTGTTTTGGCTTCCACAGTCTTTTCTATTCTTTGAGGAGTGGAGTTGCTTTTCTTCTCATCCTTAGCTGGCTTTGCTGCCGCTTTGGGCTTCTTTTCAACATCGGCAATAGCAATGATAGCCTTCAAAGCTGGGTCGAATTCCCTGTCCTCACAAATCATCCCAATAACTGGCCCGTTATTATGAGCCGGCAGTGGGTTATTGGTTACATTGGGGGTCTCCTCATCCCTCAACACTACCCGTTTTTGCTCTATCAGGTTCTCGACCGCTCTCTTAAGGGTCCAGCAATCTTCAGTATCGTGCCCCTCTGCCCCTGAATGATAAGCACATCGGGTGCCGGGTCGGTAGGAGGGTGACTCTGGGTTTTGCCTGTTTGGAGGTACGGGCTGCAACAAACCCATTTGGACCAACTTTGGGAAGAGGCTGGAATATGATTCACCGATGGGTGTGAAGTTGGTTTTTCTGGGTGGTTCACGGGCACGGGCATTATATGGAAAATTATTCTGTGGGGGACGGGGATTATATGGAGCTTGGTGAGGAGGGTTATTTCTGGGAGGTGGAGCTCGGTTCTGATTGTAATGTTGTTGCGGCCGGACATACGGCTGGGCGTTCATTACTGCATAAGGATGAGGAGTCATGGCATATGCCGCATCTTGGTGAGGGTAGTAATGCTGTGGGGTTCTGGAAGAGGAACCAAAGTAACCTCGGGGTTGACGAGGATTTTTCAGATTTGAGGCCATCATTGCTACCTCTTCTTTCTTTTTCCGGTTTGCTGCAGCCCCCGACCCACTCTGGATTGCTTGAGAGGTGGCTCTTATAGCCGACTGGCTCAGGATGCGACCCGTTTTCAAACCATTCTCTACCATTTCCCCAATCTTTATGGCTTCTGCAAATGGCTTGCCCATAGTGGACGTCTTCTGGAAGTAATCAGCCTCTTGGGATTGCAGGAAGACACTGACCATCTCGGTCTCATCCATTGGGGGCTTCACCCTGGCAGCTTGTTCGCGCCACTTGACAGCATATTCTCGGAAGCTTTCCGAAGACTTCTCTTTGAAATTGGACAAAGAGTTTCTATCTGGAGCTATCTCCACGTTGTATTGGAATTGTCTGACAAAGTCTCGGGCCAAGTCATCCCATATGTGCCAGCGGGAGATGTCTTGATCCATATACCATTCGGATGCGATCCCGACTAAACTTTCCCCGATTAAGCCATTAGGAGCTCTTCTTTTCCACCCGCTCCCCTCAACTGATTGCAATACCTCTTTAGATGATCTATGGGATGCCCATGTCCATCATATTTCTCAAATTTGGGAGTCTTGAAACCGATGGGCAGATGAACATGCGGGAACATGCATAAGTCAGCATAGGATACACTCTTCTGGCCACTCAGGCCTTGTATGTTCTTGAGACTTTGTTCTATGCTTTTCATTTTCCGATTGATCTCCTCTTGCTCGGGATTTTTTACAGTTCTCTCTTGTCCCGCGGTAAACTCATACCAAGGTTGTTGAGGGTAGGAGTTTGTAGTGACATGACCCGTCTCCGGTAGAAATGGTGGTGTTTGGAAAGTAAAGGATGATGGCTCAAAGCTTGGCCTGGGAAATATTGGCTGTGCCGTGGCCGAGGTTGGTGGTGCGGGGAATATGTTAGAAGCCACTCCCGAAATCAGTGCCTGGGGGCGAACCTCAGAAGGCGTTCCGACAAAATAGGCTGACATGGTGGGGTATCCGAGTGGGGTATTCGGGTAATTTATAGGGAGGTTGGAGGTTCCACTTGTTCTGGGAATCAGCTCGGGGAAACCATGTATTGTACTAGGCGGCTCTCTACCGTTAGACCAAGCGTCCCACATTTCCAACATGCGGAGGCGTAGTGCCCTGTTCTCTTCAGCAGTTGCTGACTCTGACGTTGGGATAACCGATAATGAGCTGTCCTCTGGCATGGGAATTGTTGGTAGATGACTCTCTGACGACATTTCGGCACTTCCGTTGGATCTTGTAAAGTAAGGGTGCGAAGCCAAGTTACCACAAAACCAACCACCTTAAAAATAGAACCTGGTCTCAACAGCATACACAACAAACCGGTTAGTTTGAGACAATTAACACATAGGGAATCGCACGTTGGGGAATGCAATGCACCTAGACAGTTAACGTTTTTCTACATGCTTTGCAACGATTGCATGTCTCATCCCGGCTTTTGTTACCTTTGCGGATCTTTGAATCTTTTCTTTTCTTTATGCTTTTCATCGTTTTCTCTCTTTTCTTTGCGCTCTCTCTCTCTCTCTCTCTCTCTCTCTCTCTTTTGTATTGTTTTCTCTCTTTTCTTGTGCCCTCTTTTCATCATTCTCTCTCTTATTCGAGTCATTTATAGCTATGACCGGATCCGATGGGGATTGCCTACGTATCGCGACGCCGCGCGAATTAGATCATTACGTAGTTCAGGGATAAATGAGAAATAAAAGAAAGAAACATTTTTGGGTTTTCAAATTTTCATTAAATAAAAACTTCTGATTTTCCTCTATTACAACGACTCCAACATACATGCTTAAGAACTGAAAAACTTAAAACAGACTCAAAACAGACTCTAAAAGGAAACTGAAATACAGACTCGAAAAGAATGATCAGTTGTACATAAGTGCCTCCAAAACTGCTCCAGGGGCCTGCGGGACATCAGTCGGTCCTGCAGTGGGCTTACGTGCCATATCTTCTTGGAGGCGATACAGGTCGTCCATTATCTGACGCACGAAAATCATCACTGCAGCGAAGAACATGGACCTAGTCATGTCCTCGCACTCATTGCACTTCATCACAATATAGTCAGCAATTCTTCTAACCCTCTCCCTGGTGACGCCCTTCTCTTGGAGCAGATGTCCAATTTGTTGAGATCTGGCCTCCAAAACTTGTGTGGCAGTATGATTTTGCTCTTGCAATTGTTGCAGGTCCTCCTCTAGTTGCGACATCAATGCATAGCAGTGCTCCCTTTTTGCTTTGAAGTTCTTTGCTTGTTTGGTCATTTCACTCTCAAGGGTATTGATCTTTTTCTTCAGACCCGTGATTCCTTTGTTGTATTTTTCCTTCAACTGTTGAACGAAACTTGCCCATTCTTCCGCATTCCTGGCTAACTTTGCTCGGGCCTTTGCTAGTTTAACCTCAATCTTTTCCAAATCAGCCCCATAGTCACATACTTTCCGCCTAAGACTGTTTATAAGTTTTTCATCTGCTCCGCTCCTAACCGGATTTTCAGCTGCTATTTTCATTTTCTAAATTTGGGCTCGGAGGGCTTCATTTTCTTGGGCCAACTTTTTCTTTTCACCCTTATCTACAGCGGCTTGCACACCCCTATCAAATTTAAGATTTCTGATTTGCCTTTCCAACCTGCTTATAGTGGCCCTGTACTCATTTTCTTTAGTTAACCAAGCCCATTGTTCTTGTGACGCTTCAACAAATTCTTGGATATGAGGTCTTTTGGTTGGCCTTTCAGGTTCGACCTTGCAGTGACCTTCTTTCTATACCAAGCAAGATAACTAGGCGAGACCTCGCCTCTAAACAAATCACGTACTCGGGTGTTTGCTGTCAAATATTTGCACTCGTTCCAAATATGAGGAACCACTTCTTCATGAAATTGGCCATCAGAGCGGATTTTAACTGCATGAACACTAAGATCTTCGTCTTGGGGAACTACCTGGCATCTTCCCAATTGCCTCAAAACCCGGTACGGGGCATAGGGCTAGATGCTTCGAAGACCCATCAGGAAGAAGTAGGGGCCAGTGGCAGGCATGTACACAATCTCTTTAACGGGAAGCCAACCCAGTGTCCACTCTATCTGAACTGCGGTAATGGAACGAAGGCGGGACACCCAATCTCCGACCCCTTCCGGCATTTTGAACCCAAAAAACCTTGTACCAAACTCCTCGATGCAGCTTTTCCCTGTAGACCCGTAGTTCATATACCGAGGACGATGACACAGGTGCTCAATCATCCACATTTATAGTAACAAATTGCACCCTTCGAAAAAATCTTCTCCGGCTTTGCAAGCTGTGAGGGCTCGAAATATCTCAGATACTACCATAGGGGAGAGGGTGCTTTTGGCATTGATAATCAAAACATTGACGACTCCAGCTACCCATAGATCAATATTCCCATCCTTCCTGGGAAACACTAGAAGACCTAAGAATGCCACCATGAAAGCGAAACATCTATGCTCTTCCCACTTTGACCAGTTCCCTTTACTACAGATTCCACTTTTAGGGTTGTCCAATCCTCTTACATGCCCGTACCGCTGGTATATGAAGTGTAGAGTGGAAAACCCACTTGCCAAATCTGCATACTAGACCTGCCTGCTTATTTTTAGCAAATCCAGAAACTTGTGAGGGGTTACGGCCCTTGGAGCGACCGGGTATTTATGTCTCAAACCCTCGGTACTCCCAGCGTAACCTGCTATCTCCTCCAAAGTAGGTGTGAGTTCGAAGTTCGAGAAATGCAAAACTTTGTGAGCTGGGTCCCAAAATGTCACTAGTGCTTTTATTATGTCCCCTCTAGGCCTGATCTTTAATAATCCGGTGAGTGCTCCCAAGTAATGGTTGACCATGTTTCGTCCTTCCTTACCCAAATCTTCCCACCACATGTGTAGCTCCAACGGAATCTTGTTCATGACCTTCATCGGTAAGTTTTGCTTCGTGCTCATTCTGCACATTTAGATTAAGGTGATTGGTTTAAAACAAAGTGAATTTTATTAAAGCTAATAAAAGGGGTCATTTTACAAAATTCAAAAATTTAAATAAACATGGCCACTTTTGCAAATACAGCCCTTCAGCACTTCAACAGGGAAGATTTTAGGGCTGTGTTTGCTAGGTAGCCAAAAATTGGCAAAGAAACCGTCGACGGCTATTTTTGCAAAAAACGGCCTTCCAGTGCCCCGTCGAGACGTTCGACTATCTAGACAAAAACGACATCACCCACTTTATTTATGACAACAATGACAACATCTTTTTTTTTTTGAAATTTTTGGGTTATTTTTGCAAAAGCGGGGCTGGACCCGATGAGGGTTGCCTACGTATCCCACATCCGGTGAGAATCAAACCCGCGTAGTTCGGTCAGTTTTGACGCAACAGAAAAACATGAAATATTTTGAAACAATTTTCCCTTTTCTTTTCTTTTTCTTTTCTCCCTTTTTTTTCAAAATTTTGGCAGAGTTTCGGTATATTTCGAACACCGGATTTTTCAAAGGCGGGTAATTATCTCTCTCATACCTCGATTTAATTTTTTCTAGTTTTTCTCCCTATTCTAGAAACCGGTCAACATGCAAACCGAGGCAAATAATTGTACAAGTAGCACGTAAGATGCATCAGGATGGTCTATTTAATTTGGGTACACCTGTCCTAGATGGACCCAACCCCTGTGTTGAGTCCCCAAAGTCAAATGCACATGATGCAAACAGATGTTCCTACTAGGGATCCGGCATGAGGCTGAGTTATTCTAGGTTTAAAACCTGGGTGTATTGTTCTAGACCTGGCTTACCCGAGCGGACAACTCGAGCCGAAGGGGGGCAGCGTACCGCTAACCAAAAGATCATCCGGCTTTGCAACTTGTCCGAACCTCGTTCTAATTTAGGGTATGACACTAACAGAAAAGAAGTCACGCTAGCGTGCACTTCCCAGAAGATGAGAAGAGAGGGGTTTCGCAGCAGTTTACATACAGTTCACATAATATCAAAGCGGTAAAAAGCGGCATTTAGCACATTAGGCCCAAACATGTAAAAATCGGATAATAAATAAATCCAAATATAATATTTATTCTAAGCTAGAATTCTAGAACCCTAAACCGGATGTTCTGGGTTGTTGTCCCCAGCAGAGTCGCCAGAGCTGTCATACCTCCTTTTTACCGCCCGAGGGGGATATAAGGGAGTTTTTCCAATTAAAGTGACATAAATCGAAATGGGATTATTTTATTTATTTCAGAGTCGCCACTTGGGATATTTATTATGGTGTCCCAAGTCACCGGTTTATTTTAAATCCCAAATCGAGGAAAATTGACTTTATTTAAAAGTCTGCGAACCAGAAATTCTAGATAGGAATTCTGTTAATCCGGGAGAAGGTGTTAGGCATTCTCGGGTTTCGTGGTTCTAGCACGGTCGCTTAAACTATTAATAATTGGCCTATTATCTGATTTATTACACGTTTTAAACCTATTGTGCATCTTTAGATTTATAATCGCTTTTAATTATTTTATGGAATTATTCTAGAACATGTTACGATTGTCGTACACTTGTTTGTTTGATACACATTGCGAATCATGTCACGGGAACCGTACCCACGATCTACAACATGTTTAATTTATTAAAGTTATTAGAAGTTGTGGCCGGATCACATAAATGTACCTCTAGATTTGGAAATTAGGTATCACAATTACGTTACGGGAACCGTACCCGTAGCTATGATGATTTTTATTATAAACGCGCCTAAAAGCAAACTACGAATGTTCAAAATGTTTTCTACACTAAGTTATAATATTGATGTGAGGGCCATAGATTAGGTGATTCAATTTTGAATGGCACGCCTCGATTTATTTTAAAAGATTTGTATTTCACTAAAAGCAGGCTAAGGATGCTCCTATTTAAAACTAATTTGAACTTAGTATAAAGCTATTAATTGTATACATGTTTGGGGACATATGTATTGGACTTTCAATCATTTTTTGGGTCAAGGATTTGGGCCGGCAGGAGCCTATTGGTTACTTGCTCAAGGAAAGAAAACAACATTGAAGCTGTATTGGGCTCAAAACTCAGCCCAGAATGAAAGAGACTCAAAGGCCCTTGCCCAGTCTGAGTTTTAACCAAGTCTGCCCACATTGGGCTTATATTAGGCGGGCCCAATCGCAAAAGTTTACTGCCTGGGCCTATCTACCTTTACATTTAAACTAACCAAGATTTACAAGATATACACATTTGTCAAAAAAAACATAAATCAATTTTATGAAA